CCTCAGGTGTGCCTCAGGTGTCCCTCAGGTGTGCCTCAGGTGTCCCTCAGGTGGTCCTCAGGTGTCCCTCAGGTGTGCCTCAGGTGTACCTCAGGTGCCATCCACCTTATTTTTGTTTGTTTGTTTTTGAGAAAGGATTTTTGTTACCTGAGACATCACTGTCCAGTGAGCCCCAAGATTGGCTTGTTTCCATCTCCCCAGCAGTGGGATCACAAGCACATGTTTCTCCCTGGGCTTTAAAACAAAACCTCAGAGGTGTCGTGCTTGCCTGACAAACATTTCACTGTTTTCTCCTCAGCCCTTGCCTTAATTTTCAGTTGGTGTCTTATTATTCTGCAGAAGCAAATGGTTTTTGCCTACTGGTCTTGCTGAACTAGTTAGTGTTGGTAGGTTTTTGGTGGATTCCTCTGGGTTTTCTGTATAAGACCATCTCATCTACAAGTGGATGTGGTTTTAATTCTTTCTTTCCAATCTGGATGCATTTCATGTTTTTCTCTTGTCTTAACATCCTGGCTAGACGCTCTGAGCAGACTGTCGTAGAGAAGCGGCAAGAATGTGCGTCCTTGCCCTGTTCCTGACATGGAGGCATATTCCTTGGCCGTCACTGTAATAAGTCACAAGTAATTACTTTATGAAGACAAAGTTCGTTTGGATTCCCAGTTCTGAAGTCTCTAACTCCAGTGATGGCGACTGGAGTCCATCGTGGTAGGAGTGTGTAGAAATACAAACTCCTCACCTTGTGAACCAGGAACCAAGGTGAGCAGCTAGGCAGGACTGAGCCCCACATCCTCTTCAAGAGCAACGTTGGTCACTGAAAGACATCTCCCAAGGCCTGCCATCCTAAAAGTCCACAGCACTTACCCTGGAGACCAAGCCTTAAACACACAGCCTTGGGCGAGGGAGAGAGTGTTCAGTGTCCAAATAGCATTGGAGGAAGAATTATGTCTTTTACCATTGTTCTTAGCAATGGGCTCGTGTGTGTGTGTGTGTGTGTGTGTGTGTGTGTGTGTGTGTGTGTACGTGTTCTTTAAGGCCAGGATTTCTCTTCATTGCTAGTTTATTGTATGTTTTTTTTTTTTTTTTTAACCACGAAGGGTATTTTGTCAATTGTTTTTTCTGTTTCTTTTGTGGTGTCGATATAATTTTAGCCTTTGTTATATGGCTGTGGTATAATGTGCTGATTTTGCTATTTTTGGATGTTAAAACAAAGAGATTATCTCCAGGATGCAAGAAAAGAGAAAACCTACTGTTAGTTCAATTTGCACTGATTCAGAATGCAGTATCTATATCATACTTTTTATATCTATAATCAGGATATAATCATAGGATTTTGTATCTGTAATCAGAGGAGGTGTGAGTCTGTAGTTTCCTTTTTCTGGTTTTGACATCGGGGTATACGGCCATGCAGACCAAGGTGAGAAGCATTCCACACTCTTCTAGTTTGTGCAGAATTGGTGTGTACTCTTCCTGAAATGTTTGGGGGGAATTCATAAGTGAAGCCATCTGGATTTGGGTTTTCCTTGGTGGACGGCTTCACAACTCCTGATTCCACCTCCTTGTAACTGTAGGCCTAGACTCTCTGTTCTAGACGTTCTGTGTCATAGCCAGGTCTCTGTGTGTTTCAGGGGCTCAGTTTTGAGAGTCCGCATCTTGGGGAGTCCGTCTAAGACATTTGCTGCTTAACCGGAGGCGATCAAGATAGCCCTCTACAGCCTGCTGTTCCTGTAAGGCGTGGGTCAGGGCTCACCTTTCACTCCTGACTTCAGTGACCCAAGGGCCCCTTCTCCCTATAGTCAGTCCTAATAGTTTAGGAAATTTGTCGAGATTTTAAAGATTTATTTATTTATTTATTTATTTATTTATTTATTTATTTATTTATTTATTTATTTATTTATATATATGGTCAGTCCTAATAGTTTAGGAAATTTGTTGAGATTTTAAAGATTTATTTATTTATTTATTTATTATTTATTTTTTAGTTTTTCAAGACAGGGTTTCCCTGTGTAGCTTTGTGCCTTTCTTGGAACTCACTCTGTAGACCAGGCTGGCCTTGAACTCACAGAGATCCACCTGCCTCTGCCTCCCGAGTGCTGGGATTAAAGGTGTGTGCCACCACCACCCGGCCAAGATTTATTTTTATTATATTTAATTGTGTGCGTGCATGCGTGTCTATGTGTGGGAATATGCATGTGAGTGCAGATGCCTGAGGAGACCCAGAGACAGTGAATCCTTTATGATACTTGTCAGCTGCCTGAGCTGGAAGCTGGGAACCTTTGCAAGGGCTGAACAGTCTCTCCAGCTCTCTTATCGATATTTTGAACGGTTCATGGACCGCTCTCTGCGGCTCTTATCATGGAGAATTTATTAACTTTCCAGTCTTATTCTTCTTTATCCTAGGAAGGGCCATTAAGGAGGGCTGTAGTCTAGCTGACATGAGGGTTAGTCCGAGTTCAGAGTTCTTGGGAAAGAGAGTTTGATAGTCTCTCAGATTGCCTGGTGGGTGACTGTTCAGCTCATCACATAGGAACAATTTAGGACTAAATACTTGGCATGGGGGGTGTGAGTGGCGGAGCCTGTGCCTTACTATCAAGTTATGTGGAAAGGATGGTTCCCCACGATGGACATTTCCTGTAGCATGGAGGCTGGTGGCCACAGAAGAGGGAATGGTAACTAGTAGATATAAAGCTTCTTCAACTCTGTCTTCTGGCAATAGGACTCAGCTTTTATGTCATCAAGACGATACTTACATTAGTCTGTTTTGCTTAGGACATACTGACACAAATTATATGTAACTGGGTCTCAACCTAGCCCCTGGCTGACCTAGAAGTCACTCTGTGGATCACAGAGGTCTGCCTGTCTTGTGCTGGGCTGCACCTGGCCAGGAAGTAGCTTTTTGTACCATGATTGTACTTTGGGGTCACAATACAAATAATTAACCTAATGCAATAGTCTGCAAGCTGTCGTTGGAAGAGAGCATGTCCAGAAACCCAAGGTGGGGATGTGAAGCGAATGCTGTTTCCTCGCAGTGTGTGCTCAGACTGAAGGGGGTCTCTTAACGTGGCTGAGCACCTGCCTGGATGCCACCAGTGGCCAGGGCTGCACACGCTTCCCACGCTGTCCTCCCTGGTTGGCTGTAATCATATACGACACCGAAACCGGTCACTCTGTTTGAACACTACTACCCCGAGATTTCTGGAGCCCATTTTCTTTCTGTTTCTAATAGCCATTTTCTATTGATGTATTTGAATTTGGGATCTACCTACTCTCGGTCTTTCCTATGAGATCATGTCTCATGTGTTTTAATTGACAGGACTGGCTCTGACCACACTTCCTTTCCTTGATTTTCACCTCAGCTGCCGTACAGACCTTACGCTGTGCTGTCAACAGTACGATCAAAAATATGAACAGTTGTTTGGGTTCTTAAAAAAAAAAAATGGAGCTTCAGTGGGGGTCATCTGACTGCCACGTGTTTATAATGTGACCCTGTGCTCACTGGATGTAACTCTATAAATATGAATATGAATTTACAGAGCCTTGTTGAGAGTACTGATGTGGTTTTTTTTTTTTTTTTGGTTTTGTTGAGATGGTTTCTCTGTGTAGCTTTGCACCTTTCCTGGGACTCACTTGGTAGCCCAGGCTGGCCTCGAACTCACAGATATCCGCCTGGCTCTGCCTCCCGAGTGCTGGGATTAAAAGCGTGCACCACCACCGCCCAGCCTGATGTGGTTTTTTAAGAGATAGTTGTTATAGTTAAAGGTTACATTTTAGTTATTAATGTAAATCTGCCTCGGAGAATGCATGCGGTGTTTCCTAAGGGCGGATGTTGCGCTCATGAGTTAGGAACTGTCATGGTCCCTGAAGTGAAGGAGGCATTGGTTTTGAAGGTGTCGCGGTGTGCAGGCAGGTGTTCTTGGCCCTTTCTGGTGTGTTTAAAAGCGTATTCTGTAGGTCGTGACCTTCGGTCTCACAGGTGGGAGAGCCAGCTGCCGGGAGGTAAGTTGCACACCACTTTATGAGTACTCACTTGGCATCCAAACCCAGATCTGACTTCACACTCCTTCATCCATAGTGACTTTCAAGTGGATGGGGACACGTCCCTCCCTTGGGAAACTGCAGAAATGAACACTGTGGAGGCCTCAGGCTGGGACTCTGAATCACAGTCAATGCACCAGACATGCAGCTCAGTTTCTTTTCTTTTCTTTCTTTTTTTTTTTTATTTTGGCTTTTTAAAATCACTTGTTTATTCCATTTGGTAGAGGGTTTTTTTTTCCATACAAATATTTGCAACAATTTTGAATTCCCCAAAACCATACATAGACGATAAATACCATGCTATTAAAGTATTAAATTTGTACAAAAATACTTTACAGTTTAATACTTGTTTGTTACAAACAAAAATACATATTTAAGTGACTCATGATCATTTTATTATTATTTTTTTTCCTTAATAGGATTCTGTTCTATACTTTCTTGCCCTGGCAGTTCTGAAATGTGTTTGAAATCATATATTTCTTTGCACAGAAAAAGATGAATCATTTATTTCCCTTAAACAAAGGACACAGTGTTTGAATGGTTTGCCTGTGCAGGTGTACTAGTGACCAAAATGAACAGGTTTGGAAAATAATAGTTTTGACATTCTACCATCAATATACAGCTCTATATTTTTGTTTTTTTTTTTTAGTATTTACCAAATAACAGTTATTAGTGTAGCTATTCAAAATATCTGAACAAATGAAAACAGTTGCCCACAAACTTTAAAGCAACCGTCTGTCACAGGTGTCTTATTGCTTTGGGGGGTGGTGACTGGCAATGAGTTTTGTGAAAAATGTATTTACAAGTTCACAACCGAAGGGAGCCGTGTGTCATTCCGTACATGTGCCGTGTGCCCCTCCGGGGACCTATCTGCAGACAGCTGAGCGAGAGGAGTTTCTATTTGCCTACCCATAAAGTGAATCTCATGTCATTAAACTCTTCATTCTTAAATTCTTTAGTCTTGGATTTTAAAAAATAGGATCATATCACTAATTCTCAGTGTTACTACACACTCTAATTCATTATCAGAGATGTTCAGCTATTTAAAAAAAAAAAATGTGTCCTTAAGGGGGAAAGAAAAAAAAAAAAACAGGTCACAAGACATATCCTGTTTGATCATCTGTTGCATAGGGAATAGCATACATCTTAGTTAAAATCATTCCTATATTTGGGCAAAACGTTTACCCCCACCTATTATGATCTCCTACGTGCATTGTTGCTGAAACCGTTTAAGAACATCTAATGCTATACCTGTGCCCCTCCCCCTCCAGCAGGCCTGGCAGTTCACCCATCCCAGCTTCCCGAGCAGGGCCGGCTTTATGGAAATCCAGGTTGCTTCTGTTCTTACGTTAATGACTTCATAGTGAGGAACTTATTTCATTAAGGAAATTATCATAGAGAATATTGTCCAGCGGATGTTTCTCTTTGTAAAAAGTAAGGTGAATGGTAAAGAGTTTCCTCTGATCTTAGTTGTGGGAAGGGGTGGGCTGCTTTCTACCATTGGGCCTGGCAGAGAATGACCTGCCACTTAAGGGTAGCGGTCATTGTCAAAGAAACCTCTTCAGGTTGGGAAGGGGTGTGAACATGAGCCGTGAGGGAGGAGATTTAAAAGACCTCTGTGCTTGCGGTTAATGCCACGTGATTCTCTGTGCTTTGGCCGTCACAGAAATCTTAAAGGGATTTTTTTTAGCACCATGTAGATATTGTCTTTTTGTCCCGCTTTATAAAAAGTGCTGCTATAATGTGTTAGTGGGTTCTCGTGTCTCTAGATTACCACCGTGGCTGGGCTGTTGGAAGAAAGCGCTGTTCTGTTCGCTCCAGTCTCCTGGAAGAGCCTGCTGCTCCATTGACTTCTGGGAGGCCAGTGGGTTTCTGCTAATGACCAGGTCCAGCTTGTTGCCAGATTCGGCTATGAGCGGCACTACCAGACAGCAGTCAAAATCCCTGGTCCGGACGTGGTTAACCTGCCAGGCCAAGAAGAGTCACTTTCAATGACTGTCTCAGCCACCGCTCCCAAACCCAGAGGCCAACTGCTTAATCCCAAAGGCGGACCGTGCGGTTTGGCTACACGGTGACACCGGGTGTTCGGGTCACTATCCATCCTCTGCATCTGCCTGTTGGGAGCTGAAGAGTAAGACACCATCCCCCTGTCCCCACACTAAGATCACCCCCCCCCAAAGTCTCCTGTGGCTGAAGGTTACCCCAGTTTACAGCTGAAGAAAACAAAGCTTAGAGCAGCGAATTGCTTTTGCTTTAGACTAGCAGTGGGAAAGGGATATAGTTCCAGGCAGTCTGGCTGCCATGATGTTTAGCTCCCCTGATTAAGAATGAACCCCGGCCTGGAGACATGGCTCAGCGGTTAAAAGCACTGACTGCTCTTCCAGAGGTCCTGAGTTCAATTCCCAGTAACCGCATGGTGTCTTACAACCACCTGTAACAAGATCTAGTGCCCTCTTCTGGTCTGCAAGGACACATGCAGGCAGAATACTATATACATAATAAATGAATATAAAAAAAAAAAGAAAAAGAACGAACCCACCCCCACCTCAACTTACACATGCTCTATGCATTCCTTTGTAATTCTCTTTCAATACCTTTTTTTGGGGGAGTGGGGTGGGTCTGGGGATTGAACTCTGGGTGTCACATGTGCCAGACAAACACTACAATGGAGTTATGTTCCCCATCCAACAACAGTACTTGTTAAGATCACCTGCATTCAATTCCCAGTCCTGGCTTCCCACTTTTTGAGGACAAGTACTGGGCACTTAAATGAACCCCATCTTAAACTCTGGGAACTGCAGTCCTCAGCCTCCGTGGCCGTTATCAGTTTACTCCTCTGGACACCTGCCTGTCCCTTAGCTCTCCTCTGAGGAGACGCGTGATGGTGAAGGTTGCTGCCTGGGTCTGAGACCACCACGCCCATGCCTCAAGCTGCTGGCTAGAGATAAACACGGAGGGGCATCTTTGCCTCTCCTCTGGCTGCTTCCGGCCCGCACTGCTCCTTCAGTGGACCACTCAGACGCTGGGCCTCAACCTGCTAGTTACCACTTCCTCTCTCCACTCTCCGTTCTTGTCTGTGTGATCTGGGGACGGAGGACTGCCCTGCTCGCTTAGGGTGCTTTCCCTGTCCAGGATCCAGCATGGAGCAACACTGAGCTGTTCCAGAAGTGCATTGTATTTGTACTCTCTGAAGACCCAGGCACTGCCCCCGGGCCTGGCTTCCTCCCAAGGATGTAAGGGAACGGAGGCGTGGACTCTGAGAGCCGGGACCATAGCGTAAACTGGATGTAGGTTGGACAAGAGCCACCAAGGCCTCTTCTGTAAATATGTGTTCCACATAAGGGCCCCCAGTTATTGAGACAACTCGGATAATTTGCCTGTGGTGATATATTGTGTATCCTAATAAACTTGCCTGAGGATCAGAGGACAAAGCCAGCCACTAGATGAGAGACAGAGGTCAGGCAGTGGGGGCACACACCCTTAATCCTATCACTTGGGAGGCAGAGATCCACCTGGATCTCTGTGAGTTCAAGACCACACTGGAAACAGCCAGGCAGTGGTGGCACACACCTTTAATCCTAGTACTGCGAAGCACACAAGTCTTTAATCCCAGGAAGCGATGTCTGGGCAGAGAAAGGTATATAAGGCATGAGGAGACAGGAACTCATTCTTTTTAGGCTGGGGATTTTGTAGAAGTAAGAACTGGTGGCAGGCTGCTCAGCTTCTCTGATCTTTCAGCTCTCACCCTGATTTCTTTCTTTCTTTCTTTCTTTCTTTCTTTCTTTCTTTCTCTTTCTTTCTTTCTTTCTTTCTTTCTTTCTTTCTTTCTTTCTTTCTTTCTTTCTTTCTTTCTTTCTTTCTTTCTTTCTTTTTCTTTCTCTCTTTCTCTTTCTCTTTCTCCTTCTCCTTCTCCTTCTCCTTCTCCTTCTCTTTCTCTCTTTCTCTCTTTCTTTCTCTTTCTTCTTTTTCTTTCTTTCTTTCTTTCTTTCTTTCTTTCTTTCTTTCTTTCTTTCTTTCTTTCTTTCTTTCTTTTTTTCTTTCTTTTATAGGGTTTCTCTGTGTAGCTTTGCGCCTTTTCCTGGGACTCACTCTGTAGCCCAGGCTGCCCTTGAACTCACAGAGATCCACCTGCCTCTGCCTCCCGAGTGCTGGGATTAAAGACGTGCGCCACCACCGCCCGGCTCACCCTGATTTCTGGCTCTGGGCTTTTTATTAAAAGATCATCTAAGACTCGAACAACATTTGTCTTTGAACCATTCCCCATGTCAAAGACCCAAATCCCTGTCACTGCCCCCGAAGCCAGGCTTGCTGGCTACTCTAGTACTCAAAGCCCAAGTCAAGTGGGGCCATTGTTTCTCATGACATGCCCTGCTTCACTCTGCTTTGAGCCTCTAATATTTTCCTGTTTCCTGATGCTGCCAGAATTCCTCCACGGTTCTCTTCCCCTTCTGGCCAGATGCTCACCACGGGTAACTTGATCTAACCCCGTCCTTCCAGATACCTTTGGCCCTGGCTGGAACATCATTTCTAAGCAACAGATCAAAGTTACGAACTTAGGTCCCATAGGGATGTGCTGAACTTATGAAAGACTGGATAGGTCTCCCTGGTCCCCTTGTGAACACCTGCTTCCCCACCATGTCCCATTCATCTATAATAATATTATATCACTTTTCTCTGTGTTGTAGGCACATGTTTATGTGTGTGTGTGTGCATGTGTCTTGTAGGCACATGTTCATGTGAATGTGTGTTTTTTTTGCAGGCAGGTACATGTGCATGCATGTGAGCATGGGTGTGGAGGTCAGTGACAAGATATCAGGTGTCCTCCTCCATCGCTCTCCACCTTTTTATTGAGACAGGGTCTCTTATTGACCCTGGGGCTCAGTGGTTTGGTTTGGCCGGCTGGTCAATGAGCTCGAGGCCATATCTAGGCTGAGGTTTGAAGAATGAACATTTAGACGGGAAAGGACAGCCCAGGTCAGAAACTGCAGGAAGCTGAAGTAGAATTCTCTTTCTTTTTCTTTTTTTCTCTTCTTTTCTTTTCTTTTCTTTTTTTTTTTTTGGTTTTTCCGAGACAGGGTTTCTTTGTCCAGTTTTGGTGCCTGTCCTGAATCTTGCTCTGTAGACCAGGCTGGCCTCGAACTCACAGAGATCTGCCTACCTCTGCCTCCCAAGTGCTGGGATTAAAGGCATGAGCCACCACCACCCAGCTGAAGTTGAATTTTTTATCCAACCATTCACTGCTGCGAGTGTCACAGTTGAATTACAAGAACAGAAGGGGAAACAAAGGGTCCAGGGATGAAGGAGAATGTGGAAGATGCTGCTGCTGCCTGTAGGTCAGGGGCAAGGGTTCAGGACTCCCTCTGAGGCCTTACCTGTAAGAGCCTGTCATAGGGCTTCAAGCCGCCGAGATCCCCTGGCCCGGCTGGGCGGATATTTTTGACATACACTCCTTTCTCCAGCAGGCCGTCTGCCACACTGAACCCGAAGTCCTCCATGCCGGAGTCCTTGTATAAGGTCACCTGGAAAGTGTGGACACGTGAGAGCTGTCAGAGGAGGAGAAATGAGTCGTATCTTTCTTTTTTATTGTTATTGTACCTCATCCTTTGGGGGGGAAAAAGTGTGTGCGTGTATATTTGTGTGTGTATATATGTGTGTGCATGTGTATTGCGTGTCTCTCTGTGCATGTGTGGTTTGCACGCATGTGTGCAGGCCAGACGACAAGGTCAGGTACCTGGATACTCTGATCCGTCATCCCCTGCTGCATCCTCCCGAGACAGGCTCTCTCACTGGACCCGGGGCTTGCTGTGTTTCAGCAAGGCTGACTAACCATGCAGGCCTGTCACTTCCCCTGTCTCCAAGTCAGCCCCTTATCCCTTCCTGTCCCCCAACCGGTACTGGGGTTACCAACATGCACTGCCACACCTGGCTTTTACTTGGGTGCTGGGGATCCGAACTCCGGCCCTCATGCTTCCATGGCAAACACTGCTGTAACCCATCCACCCACGGATCCAACTCCTCAGACTCAGCACCGCCTCCTCCTTTCAAGTTGCAGTCATCAGGTCCAGGACCCAGAGGGCAGGCTGACGTCTAATGTCTCCCTGGCGTAGCCCCCAGGTTGGGGAGAAGCCGGGGATGAGTGATGTTGAAAAATAAACCTTTTCTGCTTCCCACCAGCCTGGCGCTCTGCTAAGTGCTGTATTCCACACCCCCTTTGAACCAGGGCTAAAACTTGCACTATTTTATTTGCGGAGATACCCCACAGAGCCTCATCAACAAAGAGCTTTCTAAAACACCTCCAGGCATTCCTATAACAAGCGTTCCTTGGGGACACAGCTTGACCATTTCTCTTAACTTGCCCAGGGTTTTTTTGAGCAGCTCAGGGTGTCTACCCTCCATGCTATAAATGATACCCAGGTACCACACCCGAGGGCAGCTCCTGACAGCTTCCCCCCAGCCTCACTTCTCCCTCTGGTCACCTGCAAGAGGCAGTCTGAGGTGGAAAGAGCAAACCATGTGTACATCAACCAAAGGAGTGAACGACAGAAGCGGGATCCAAACGCACACGCAGTCTCTTCAGTCAGCACTCTATGTCCATGCGGGCTAGGAGGTGGCCACTGCTGTTTTTATTAAGGTTTATTGGGTGTCATCCAAAATCTGACCACATTTCAACAAGGATTTGGGCTTACTTCACAAACTAATCGTCACACACACACACACACACACACACACACACACACACACACACACACACACGCACGGATTCCTGTCAAATAGTAGAAACAAACAAACCCCTCAGAGCTATACAAGGCAAACATGACAGCTAGACCTTGTATAACAGGTTTAGATTTTTATATCCAATTATTCGACTGAGGAGAGTTATGGACTACTGAAAGGAAATACAAAAGTGGTCAGTTTGGGGATTTTATTTCACTCGATAGAAAGCTTAAAAAAAAAAAATCAAGCTTTCTGGGTCAATACTATTTACCAGCCAGCTCTGTGGTTATGGTCATTTTACAGGTGATGGAATTCGATTTTATAGAGGGTAAGTAATCTTCCCAAGACCACGAAGGCAATGAATGGTGGGGTCAGGTCTGTCAGAATCCAGACACCCAGAGCTTAACCAGCATACGCCACCAGCGGCCAGAATGCTTACTCTGCTGCTTCAGTGAAGGCATTCGTACTTGTTTACATTTTTAAATGTCTCAAATTGGACAGTGTTTTGTAATTGATGGCATCTGGGTCCTGGAATTATGGTAAGTATATAAATATCCCATCCTTCCTGGTCTCTTTCCCCCAGGCATATCCTAAAGGAAGGCTTGGAACTGAATAAGGTGTGTGTGTGTGTGTGTGTGTGTGTGTGTGTGTGTGTGTGTGTGTGTGTGTGTGTAGCAGGACATTTAGACAGGAACTCAGAGAGGGATGGAAACTTATCCAAGATCAAAGAGAAAGCAAACAACAGAAAACTACTTCAAAATAAGGGTTCTGACTGCAAAGCTCTGTTCTTTTGACCACATACTGCCTTATTAATGCATTTCTTTTAAATGCTTTTTTTCTACGATGACAGTTACTGATGGAAGCAGAGGCCGAGATCCAGAGCCAACCACCAGGCAGAGCTCCGGGGGTCCAGTCGCAGAGAGGGAAGAGGGATTGTATCAGCAAGGGGTGTCAAGATCATGATGGGGAAATCTACAGAGACAACTGAACCAAGCTCGTAGGAACTCAGGGACTTTAGACTGACAGCTGTGGAACCTGACTAGGACCGGACTAGGCCCTCTGCATATGGGAGACAGTTGTGTAGCTGGGTCTGTTGGAGGGGCCCCTGGCAGGGGGATCAGGATCTATCCCTTGTGCATGGGCTGGCATTCTGGAACCCATTGGCTATGGTGGGATGCCTTGCTCAGCCTTGATGCAGTGAGGAGGGGCTTGGTCCTGCCTCAACTGAATGTACCAGGCTTAGCTGTCCCCCCATGGGAGGCCTTACCCTTTTGTAGGAGGAGATGGGGAGTGGATTAGAGGGGGAGAGGTCAGGAGGGAGCAGGAGGAGGGATGAGAGGGGGATCTGTGGTTGGTACATAAAATGAATTTAAAAAATTTTAAATAAAAAATAGAAAATAATAAGGGGATGATAATAAATTTCTTGAACATCAAGAAAAAAATGCTTTATTCATTGGGTGGTATAGCTCAATGTGAGACTACTTAGGATGTCTAAGGCCCAAGGGTCCATCCCAACACTGCCAACCCTAACAACCTTTCCCTCAAATCCAAACAAACAAAGACAACACAAAAAATAGTTAAGACCTTCTGTAATTATGTTTTTGTCTCAGGCCATAAGATGGGCGATATCTGCATTTTTTACTGGAGGAAGTTAAACTTTTAAAGTTTCATTTTATTTTATGTATAGGAGTATTTTGCATGCATGCATGCATGCATGCATGTGTCCCATATAGGAGCATTTTGCATGCATGCATGTGTCCCGTATAGGAGCATTTTGCATGCATGCATGCATGTATGTGTCCCATGTGGGGGCCTGGTGCCCGCAGAAGCATAAAAAGGGTGTCAGATTCCCAGAAACTGGAGTTACAGGTGGTCATGTGGGTGCTGGGGATCAAATCTGGGTCTTCTGCAAGAGCTGCAAGTCTTCCTAATTCCTGAGCCACCTCTTAAGCCCCGGGAAAACACTTTTTTTTTTTTTAATAATAAAGTATCAGCTCCTGTGTAGGCAGTCACATTGGTGAGACTTTACATACATGACAAAGTGGGCTTGGAAAAGCCCATGAGGACTCAGTTCTACACAAAGAACCACAAGCAACTGAGAAAAGCTGGAGAGGGTGGGGTGGCCTTCCCCAGGGAAGAGTGTGACAACTGGTAATCTGTGCCAAACGGTCAGCGCTGAAAACATACATACAGGTAACAGTATATGGACTGCGTAGGTTACATTGAAGAATATGTACGTATACATATATGCATATATACATGAAGTAATAATTAATGAGAGAAGAGGCCTTGGATTTGAAGGAGAGTGGGGAGGGGTGTATGGGAGGGTTTGGAGGGAGGAAAGAGAAGGGAGAAATGTTCTTATAATAAAAAATAAGAAAAAATCAACTTCAAGTATCTTTTAAAATAAAGATGCCAGAGCGCCAGGACTCCCTCCGCCCATCACCCAGTGGCAGCAACTGTCATGAAGTGCATTGACTTCAGTCACGTTCATCTTTATTTCCTTGGGAGAGTATTTTTGGAGGAATGTCAGACTGTAGTATGTGTCTCCCAGGAGCTGCTCACTTTCTTCTGAATTGACAGCTCTCAAATAAAGAAACGGCTAATGAGCATCAGGAAGAATGCACAACATGACCCATTACCAGAGATGCAAATTAAAACCAGGATGAGAAGTACCCTCAGTTAGAAGGGTCATTCTAAAAAGACATAGAAAAGAGATGCTGTCAAGATTTGAGGGAAGAGGAGCCTATCATACACACTGCTGGGGGTAATGTAAATCAGTTCAGCCGTTGTATAGATCATTAGGGAAGTTTCTCAAAAACTGAAAGTAGAATTCCATGAGACTCGACGATCCCAATGCTGGAATTTCCAAAGTACATGGATTTATTATATCACAAATATGCATAGTCCCTTGTTTATTCTAGTACTGGACACAACAGCTGAGATGTGAGACCAACCAATCAGCTGCCAACCCATGAGTGAATAAAGAGAGTGTGGAAGATTATTCAGCTGTCGGAACTACATCCTATCCCTTTTGGTTATATTGATGGAACTGGAAAACATCACCTTGAATATGTAAATCAGGCACAAACCAGACCAGTGTCTCATGGGAGCACTCACTGGTGCGAGCTGAAATGCTGATCTGAGTGAAGAAGAGTGGCCACAAGAACAGGGAAGGGGCCTGGGAAGGGTCAGGTAGTAGGTGTCCAGCCATGACGAGACAGGACCAGTGACTTCCAGTGTTCTGTGGAGTAAGGAAAGAGTCTACAACAACGTATCGTGTACTTCAAAATAATCGGAAACGTCTGAAGGTTCTTATCACATAGAAATAATGTGTGAGGAGAGAGTGATGCTAATTATCTTGATTTGATCATCACACACTGAATACATGTATCAAACTATTGTAACAGTATCTTCCCCCCAAAACATGTAAATAGCATGTGTCAGTTACTAAGTATATCATAAAAACTACGCCTGTTATAGAAAATTAGACAAAGCACACACAGGGTGTAGCTATATAGAACATAAACATATGATAGATTTTATATAGATCCCAGATGTTATTAATTCACTGACACAAATTGGACTTAATTATTGGCTATTCTCCAGTACCTAGGCCATCATTTCCCAAATCATCTCAAAAAGTATGTGTGGATGTGTGCACATGTACCTGTACATGTTTCTACGTGTGAATATGGATGTGATTGTGCCACTGTGCCTGGGTACAGGTCAGAGAACCACACTGGTTGTTGAGTCTCATCTTCTACTTTGTTTCTGAGATGGAGTTGCTCTGTTTTCTCCTGTG